AAGAGTGATGAGGCTATGACAGACACTTGAAAAGCATGAAAATATTTGTTTGGGGATGAAACATACATACCCTCCAACTGCACTGATTTTACTAGACAACACTAGAAGTCAGATCCTAATTTTGGATCTGAACAAAATATCAGTTGGTACCAATTCTTAATACCATTGACTATTTCCAGTTGGAAAAAACTTTGTTTTGTGTAAGTTTATTGCAGGTTTCTTGTCTGTAGACAGGTTCTCAGTCCTTCTCACCCTATAGCTGCTCCCATTCAAGCAGTGCTTTGTGCCTTGCCAAGTCTAGCTAAAGCACTTAGAAATGAGAGAGGAGAGCAGGTTAAAGCTTAAGCTGCTTCGCAAGGAACTCTTTAGAGGTTCCTTGAGTAGTATTTCCAACGGCAGCACTGCTACATCTGCGCAGCTTCTTCTTTTGCTCTGCTGCCTGTGATCAGCAAGCAAAGGTAGAGTGGAGATTGTAATTTTAAATCTACAACAAAAAAATTTGAAGCTGTAGAAGCAGCCAGTGTGTGGAACGAGATTTATTCTAAATGGCAGCAGCTACATGGCGGGTCCTGCAGAATACATCAAAATCTTAGCATCTGGCCGCAACTGCATCACGCTTTTGAAGTGAAAGTATTATGTAAAATAAAAACATTCTCACTGTATTATCAAACGTGCTAATTAGGCCAAGAAAATTAACTGGCTGAATTGCATTTAGCTTCATTCAAACTCATCCCAAAGAAATAAGACGTAAGCATATTGGGACAAACTCACTTGCCTTTGCCTTTGACTAGGCTGTTCATATCCACAGTACCAGTGTGCAAACCATGTACGCACCACAAATACATGTTCAAAAGGCCACACGTACTGGAATAACTTGTCAGGCTTACTAATCGGCTTCTCTCCCAACCTCCTTGTGATCTGAAGTACTCTGCAGCATGCATTTCTCGTATCAATGAGAGGGGAATCTTACAAGCTCGTGTTGGAAATTCTCTGAGGATAGCTTTGCAAACAGTTTGAAGAAAAGAGATTTAAAAAAAAGCCACAGAAGGGGTGCAAAAATATGCACCCAGTGTAAGTGTGTCGCCAGTGTGGCCAAAGAAGCAAGCCTCCAGCGGTATTCTTAAAAGGAACGCAGCTGGACGTAGGTGGAAGGGAAGAAATATTCTGTAGTGGGAAAAGCCTAGATTGGAGGTCAGCCATGCCAGCTGCATTTCATCATTAAACCAGTCATTTAGCAAAGTACAGCCACAAGCACGCACGCACACACACTTATAAGGGAGCAATTTGTGGCTGACTGGTAGAGTAACAAAATACTATCTGCTTTATTTTGAATAACTTCAGTCTCGCAGAAAGACAGGGAAGAAAATTCTATGGCTCACTGGACAGAGAGCGCAGCTCAGCTGGAATCATAGAAGAGGATTTTTAGGCCTACAGTTGTTCTCAAGTATTTGCCAGAGGAGGAATTCATCACTGCTTTGTCATATAAACTCTTCTGAACCTTCACGAGAAGTTACAACGGTATGTTGAGAGTCAAACACAGGAGCCATGCTACACCTGTGATAATTAGTCACCACCGCTCAAGGGGCTCCTGGTAACAGCATCCTTTTGGAGAACTGTCAGGGATACCACATGTATAAGCCAGTCTGATGCCTCTGCATGCATATAGCAATTTGAGTGCCACTAGATTAAATTCCCCCGAGAGAGGCAGCACCAAGAGATATAAAATAATTTATTGCAAAGTGCGTTTCCATCTGCCCTGTGGGTTACCAGTCGCACCCGTGCTCTGCTCAGGGTGCCAGCCCTCAGGAAATTAGATGGCCTAAAGGCACAGAAAGAAGTTGTGTTTTATCAACATGTAGGTCGTCTCTGATGAAAAGCTCTTAATCACAGACATCATAGCACAGTACCCAACAGCATATCATGCCTTTTACATTCTCAAGAGGTCTGGCTGCTAGGCAAGTTGCTTTTTTTTTTTTTTTTTTCTTTTTCTTAAATAATTAATATCTGTGATAATTACAAGGGACAGTCTCCTCCTAATAGATTTGTTGCAGGAGATGGCTCTTATCCCGTAGAACACATTGCTTAGTGACTCCTGTTTCAAAACCCCAGACTCTCTCAGAGGAAAAATTATAATGCTGCCCGTCAAACCACCAGATCCATCATAAAAGGAACTTTGAAAATGAGAGTCAGGTGCCTAGATAGATCTGGTGGCACATCACTACACAGGCCCCAAAAGATAAATATGAGGTATGATCCTGGCAACATTACTTATTGTACGACATAGCCAAGACATGTGGATTAGCTCCACCGAGGGTCTTAGAAAGTGAGCTTGTCAGACCCACAGAGGATAAGAATGGTCATGATCCGGTACAGGCTAACCCCAACACCTCAGGCTGGCATGCCAGAAACACCAGGCAAAGACTGATCGAACACAGTTTTGGAGGCGAGTATTGCCAAGACCTGTATACTTACCACCGAGTCCAGAATGCTTGCTCAGAGAGGATGGGATAATGGAGAAAGAAAACTCAAAAAACAGCTGCCTCAAGAAATGACTTGTATTTGTAAGAAAAGCAATGAATGCCTGGCACAGAGTAAAAAAACGCTCGTGTGAAGTTAAAGTGAAAGAACAGAGGCAAATGTTCTTCAAATACCAGCAGCACACATCGTTAACAGTGCAAATATAAACTACAAAATGTTAGACTAGTCAGCCAGAATACAATGTCAGCCAATGTAGGAAATGGTTGAATTCTGCCACTGATGGCCTTATGGCTAAGAATTAAAAGGACAGGCACATTAAAAAAAACCCTAAAAATCCTATGGTGTGGTTATTT